TCTTTATATTATTTCAATGTTTTTTAATTTCTGGAGGCTTGCTTTGGGTTGTAATGTGATCATTTCTGGACAATATACCACATGTGCTTGTGAAGAAAGTAACTTGAGCTTAGTTGAGTACAGTACCCGGGAAACATCCACAGGGTCAGTTGGGCTGATTTTATAGTTGATCTCTTCTGCATCTTTGTTAAGTTACTTTTGAGTTCTCCTATCCTTTGGTGATAGTGATATGTTGAAGTCTCCTACCACTATTATGGTACTATCTTTTTCTTTTCTTCATTTCTGTTCACCATTGTTTTATGTATTTTGCAGGTCTATCATTTGGTGCATAGATGTTGACCAATGACCTATTGTACCTTTAATCAGTGTACAATGCATTTCCTTATCTTTTATAGTCATTTTCGTTCTGAAGTCTGTTTTATCAGAAATTAGTATTGCCACTCCTGCTTTTTTCTGTGGTTGCCATTTACAGTATCCTGGTATATCCCCCCCCCCCACACCCCCCCGCCAGCCTTTGCTTTTAGTCTTTCTTTCTCTCCATTTTTCATGTGTCTCTTATAGGCAATAAATTGATGAGTTCTTGGTGTTTTGTTTTTTTTATCCATTCTGCTACTCTTTTTCTCTTGATTGGCACGTTTAATCCATTCACATTAAATGGGGTTATTAGCAGGCTAGGTTTTATTTTTTCTATTTTGCCTTAGTTCTTTTTCTGTTAGTTCTGGTTACTATAGGCCATTCACTTCCTTTCTTTCTTTCTTTTTTTTTTAATCTCTGTGTAAAGGACTTTACTTAGAATGTTTCACAGTTTTGGTCTTGTTTGCATAAATTCTTTAAATTCCTTCTTTTGTGCAAAGGATTTAATTTCTCCTTCATATTTGATGAACAGCTTTGCTGAGTATAGGATCCTTGACTGGTAATTGTTTGCTTTTACCTTTCTGTATATATAACTCCATTGTTTTCTAGCTTGCGTGGTTTCTGCTGAGGATTTTCTTAGTTACTTCCATGTTCTGGAATTCTAATCATACATATGTTGTTCCTTTTAATATCATTCAACATGATTCTAATGTTTTCTTCATTTTATTCACATCTCATCTCTAATTTTTCTTCTAGTATCTATTCAGTAAGGTTCTTGTCTTCCAGCTCACCTATTCTCTATTCCATTTCTTCAGTTCTGTTTTTGTTTCATCAGCATGTTTGACACTTCTGCCTTAACATTCTGTGTCACATTTTCATTTATTTTCTGTTATTTCCAGTACTATGTTGACCGTAGCCTCTCTGTCTTGTGCTGATTTTTTTAAATTCTTTTACCTCTTTGTATACTATTCTTTTTTTTTTTTTCCTTAGCTGTTCAAATTGTTCCTCATCAATATCTTTTTTTTTCTTTCTGGATTTCTGTCTCTAGGGTATTTGCTCTCTTAAGAACTTCCATTGTTTCACCATCATTTGCATCTTGTGTAGTTGTTCAAATAACTACACATCAGCATATTTCTTCTGGTTTTCTCTATTGGAGGTATTCATTGGACCTGACTTTTTAAGAAAAAGTTTACTTTGGGTTTTCATGATGACTGAAGCAGACAAATGCTTTCCTGTTATTATGTGACTCTTTTCTTAGTAGATGTTAGGTTGTTGTAACTATATAATGACCCAAGGGTATGGCAACGTTTTGTGAAGCACCAATATATTGGTGCTCCCCTCTGGGGGAGAAGAGAGAACCAGGGTTCGGATGGCTGTTATCTTCCTGAAATTGCATCTCCACTTGGCCTCTTCTACTTGAACTTAAGACGTTCCATGTGATGTAACTAGGTAGCAGTGTTTCACTAAAAGTACCTGTGATATTGATGTTCCTGGCACTGGATAGCAGGGACAGCAGCTGGGTGGTCTCCAGGTGGCAGGGCTGCAGGGTCTCCAGGTGGTGAAGGCAGCAGTCTAGTGCTGTGGGCAAGATTGTGGTCTAAACATCCAGCCCCTCAACCTATCATTCAGTGGTTCTATTGCCTGTGAGGATGTCAGTGTGCCTGGGCTTGGCTGCCATCTTTAGTAAATGCTGGGGAAGCAGTGGCTGGAAGACGCACCTGGGCCAGCCATGCCGCACAAGCCTTGGTGTTTTACAGCAGAGCCAAAGTGAGGTCTCCAAAGAGCAGTAGGTCTCACAAGAAGATCAACCTGTTCTTTTATTGATGCTAGTGGTTTTATCTTATTATTTGTTTTTCATCATTATGAATTATGAATTCTGGTTTATCTTCTGGAGCATTTCATAATGGTTGTTGTTACATAACATCAAATTGAGCACAACTCATAGCAGTCTCGTGAACAAAAGATCTGATCCCAGTCCTGTCCTGCACCATCCTAACACATCCTGACACACAAGAGGCCATTTCAGCAGACACCATGTCAGTCCCCCTGGTTGAGAGACTTCCTCTCCTTCACTGACTCTCTGCTCTTCCCGACATCATGTCCCTCTCCAAGGAATAGCACTTCCTAGCAGTATGTCCAAAGTATGTGAAGTGAAGCCTCATCATTCTTTCCTCCAAAGAGCACTCTGGCTGTGCCCTCTCCAACACATACCTGCTCATTTTCTTGGTCATCCATGAGATGTTCAGTGCTTTTCTCATACACCACAGCTCAAAGGCATCTATCTATCTATCTATCTATCTATCTATCTATCTATCTATCTATCATCCTTATTCATTGTCCAGGCCTTGGATGAATAGCTAGTGATCAAAAAGACTATGGCCTGAATCAGACACACATTAGTCCTTTGCAGTCTGAAACTGACTGAACATAAAATCAGGAAGCATTAATAATGATTGGTAACTGGAAGCAAAAGTAGGAAACAGTGAAGAAGGAACAGTAGTTGGAAAATATGGGCTTTGTGATAGAAATGAAGCTGGAAATAGAATGATTTTTGCATTTACAATGATTTATTTATTGCAAATTCTTTTTCTTAAAGACCACATATCTGGAAGAAATCACTGAAGAAGCTCAACATCAACAGTCAAAACTAGGCTGGGACAGATTGTGGGTCAGATCATCAATTACTCATATGCAAGTTCAAATTGAGGATGGAGAAAAAGAAATCCACAGGAACTAGATATGATCTTGAATCCATTCCATCAGAATTTCATGATAATATAAAGAATAGGTGTGAGGTATTGAAAACCAGTGATAGAAGACCAGATGAGTTGTGAAGAAAGCAGTCATTACAAAAACAGTGGAGAAAGGGAAAAATTGAAATGGATGTCAGAAGAGACTCTAAAAGTTGCACTAGAATGTTGAGAAGCCAAAACAAAAGGAAAATGTGTCAAAGTGAAAGAACTGAATAGACTATTTCAAAGGGCAGCTAGGGAGGACAAAGCAAAATATTATCATGGAATGTGCAGAGAGCTGGAATTGTTGAATAAAAAGGGAAGATTCGCTTTGCATTTCTCAAGCTGAAAGAACTAAAAACAAATTTAAGCCACGTGTTGCAATGTTAAAAGATGCTATGGATAATATATTGAATGACTCAAAAAACATCCAAAGAAGATGGAAGGAATACACAGTGTCACACTGTACCAGAAAGAATTGATTGACACTTAAAAATTTCACTTTTATGAATTGTAATAAAAGAGGAAGTGGAAGCTGAATTGAAAGCATTGGCAAAACAACAACAACAACAACAAAGCCAAAAAAAAAAAAATCCAACCCAAAATCGATGGGATACCAATTGATTTGTTTCAATTAACAGATACAGCCTTGGATCCAATCATCAGTCTTTGCCAGGAAATTTGGAGGATGGTTATCAGGCCAATGGATTGGACGAGGTCCATATTTGTTCCTATTCCCAAGAAGGGTGATCCAACTGAATATGGAAATTTATCAGACAATACCACTGTTATCACACACAAGCCAAATACTGCTTAAGATTATTAAAAAATGGCTGGAACAGTACATAGACAGGGACTTGCCAAAAGTTCAAGCAGGATTTAGAAGAGGCCATGGAACCAGGGATATCATTGATCATGTCAGATGCATCCTGGCTGGAAGTGACGAGTACCAGAAGAATGTCTACTTATTCTTTTGTCCTTTATTTTAGCATTACTTAATGTAAATTTAATTAGCAGACAATAATATGCAATAATTTGGGGGGTTGTCTTATATTTCTTGTACTTTATCAGTATTTCTTCTTTTTTTTAAGCAGAGATGATTGCATCAACATGTAAATGTTCTGTATTTACCTGAATTTCCCCCCCAACTATATTTTTCTTCCTTTCTGCTTCTTTCTTTTGTTTCTGTTTTATACTTTAATGTAGGATTCATCTTACAATGAGTATTGTGAGTTTTCACTTTTAGTGATATTGTTTGTATTATACATTCAATTAACAGTTTGGTTCTTGGTAACAAATATCTTAATTCTTGCCATCATAGACATGCTTCTGGTTATACAATATAAATCCAGGCAACTTATCAATAATGCTATTAAGTGTTGTTGAGTCAGAACCAACACATAATTACACTCCAGAAGGAGTTTATTGCTTTAGAGGCAATAAATCTTGTGCAAAGAGATCTCCTGTCTTTCTCCCACAGAGCAGCTGGTGGATTTGAACCATGTGCCTTCATTTTGGCAGTGAAGCTCCTAACCAGATCTCTAGATCATGAGAGCTCTCTAATCAATAATAGAACTCTGTAAAACAGCATCCATAGTTTTTTTACTCTATTTAATTCTTTATTTGTTTTAAATTCTATTATACATTATCCCTTTGTTTCAGGAATAAAATATCAGCATCACTACCCTAAAGTCCAGTAGGCCTGTAACTTCAACTCACTTGCACATTTATATTTGTCTTGAAGTTTAGGTTTGTTGAAATATTCATCTTGTCTTTCACTTTCTTCCTTTTTAAATTCAAATCTATCATTTCAACTCATTTGGAGAAAATAGGATAACTACAAAGTAAGAATTTATTGTAATATTGGGAACTGATTATTTTCTGTGTTGCCTCCTCCCTTCTTCTTTCTTTTAGGATTTGTTTTAGTTCCAGGAAATGCAGTTGGCCACTTACTGGGAGGTGTCATCATTTCCAAGTTAGAGATGTCTTGTAAAGCCGTTATGAGATTTATAATAGCCTCATCTATAGTAGCAATCATATTGGTTGTTTTTACGATGTTTATACGTTGTGAAGCAGTGGAGTTTGCTGGGATCACTGAAAATTATGAAGGGTAAATATATTAGCTATTTGGTATATTATATTTTTACAAAAGTTTGAAACAGTTTATTATTTATCATCAATAACCTTTGCATGTTAATATAACTGTGGAAATTATGATACATTTAAAAGAAATTAATAATGTAGTCCAATTTTTCAGATTAGGAGAATATTACAGTGAATTTTAAAGCCATGATCTTTTTAATACTTCCTATGCATCTGAAAATTAGACAATAAATGTAGCAGAAAGAAGGATCAGTATTTTTGAATTGTGATATTGTAAAAAATAATGTGTATGCAAGCCTGTAGCTTGTCTGAGTCTAGTGAGGTCCTGGGCATTTCTGCAGGTCATCCTAGAGCAACGTTGAAACAGTTGCCTTATTCTGCAACATCTATGGGGCAAGGTTATAGAAATTACAGACAATGGGAAAAAGTAAGTAATATGTATGGCACTGACTGCTATAAGAACAAATAGATCTATTTTGGAGAAAGTAAAACTAGGGTATTCCTTAGAGGTAAAAATAGTGAAGTTTTGTCCCATACTTTTGGCATGTTGTCAAGAAGGGCCAGTCTTTGGAGAAAGACATTGTGTTAGGAAAAATGAAGGGTTAGTGACTGAAAGCAAGATCTTCAACAAGATGGATTGACACAGTGATCATAACAGTGGGGTCCAGTCATAGCAGATACTGTGACAACAGCACATAGAAGGGTATATTTCAAATATGATTTTTATAGTGTTACTGTGAGTCATGGGTAACAATATGGTACATAACAACAAAAACAAAGTTTAAAAACATGTACTTAAAGTTCTAAGATAACTGTTTATGCAGCCAAGAACTGAAAGGCTAAAATCTTGGAGAAAGACAAATTCTGAAGAGGAAAGACAACTTTCTGTAGCTATAATGTTTTAACTCTAAGGAAATCCATTGATTCTAGACATAAAAAAGCTGAGAATTTGAACTGTGGTTCTCAGAAAATGAATTTAAGAGGAAGATAAACTAAAACTATTTTTTTATAGACTCAAGAACCTATAGAAACAGAAATTAATGGTCCAGATAGCAAAGTGAGGGGAATAGACAAATGAGGAAAAAGCTGTTTTTTCAAAACTTGAAGCTTGAATGTGTTCTTCAGTTATTTCAGTTTGAGAAACACCGACTATGTTCTTTTCTTTTGTTATTTTTTCTTAACTTTGTAAATTTGTGGTATTTACTATCATCTTGAGCTACTGTTTGAAGCCTTCTGTTTACTTCTCTTTAGCATTTTTATCCCTTGGTTTTTGCCTCTTGGTATTCTATGGGAAGTTTCAGAGTCTTTTCTGACATCAGTGTTGGTCTTTTCTTTCTTCCCTGGCTTTGTAATAGCCATTTGCTTTTTCATGAATTATAATTTTTATATGACATCTCTCAACTCGTAGTCAACTCTTCAACACCTAAACATAAGAACAAAGGAGAGGAGGCCTCAGTTGGCCATTAGCACCTACTCAATTGAAAGCTACACTCTTGGGAACTTGCCATTTCCCTGGGCCTCTGTATGCTCACATGGGAATCCCTCCCTCTCAACTAGTCACAAGAAAGGAGACAGTTACTAGCCTAGGGCATTAGAAAATACTAATACTTGGACACTGCACTTTGAGAAATTACTGTTTCCCTGGGCTTCTGTCTGCTAAGGTGAGAATAGTTCCCTCCCAGCCAACTGAGGCCAGCCATCAGCAACAGCTGAGACTTGGGAAATGCTCTGTTGGAAATTTCTTACTTCCCTGGCCCAGCCAATAGCACCTACAGACTTGGGGTCTGTGCTTTTGAGACCTTGCCATTTTCCTGGAACTTTACCCTCATCAAAATATCTCAGATATCTCTCTTGGGACTTTGTCTACATTTGGGGAAAAACTACTTCACCCCATCTGGCTAAGAATAGAGAAGATGGCCCACCAAAGCAGGGCAAAAGGAGAGACCTCCAGCTCCATCACCATCAAAGAACAACTGGATGAGAAGCTTGCCACAGGGAACAGACAACAGGGCTTCCCATGGATGACCATCTGGGAAAACTATAAGTGGGAAATTGAATTTGGGGAAACAGTTCACAACTTACCAATAACATTATAAAGACAAGGAACTGTCAAAAACCTACATGGTTACAACAGAAACGGATACATGTCAGGAAGAACTTATAAAATGTGGAGGAAATAGCAGGCAGCTTCAAATATGGAAAAAGTAAAGCAAGTTTTCTCCTAAAAAAGCAAGCCAGCTTATAGACCCAATGAATACCTCAGAAACAAGGAGTAAGAAAAAAATGTAGAGTTGCATGAACTCATATTGAAGAAGCTACAAATCATGGAATAAAGACTTGAAACACTAAATAAAGAGGTTGGGGAATTTTAAAAATCATGACAAAACAGAGTACAACCAACTCAGAACGAGAAACAACAGAAATGCATGAAAATGCAAATGAGACTATCAAGAACAGAATTGTAGAATTTTTCAACATGGTGGAGGGATTAAAAAGCAGAATAAAAGAGGTGGAAGAGAGAGAGAGAGAGAGAGCTAGAAGACAAGAATTTCAATGGGAACATACTGGAAGAGGGGAAAAAGAGAATACAGAAGGAAAAGGAAGAAAACATCAGAATTATGTGGGATAATATCAAATGGAACATGCATATGATTACAATTCCAAAACAGGAGAGAGTTGGGGTAGCACTGAGAATATTGCAGAAGTACAAGAAAAACACTTACCAAATTTTATGACAAATGAGGAAATTCAAAATCTAGAAGCTCAGCAAATTCCTATCAGACTAGACTTCAAAACAAAAACATCAAGATATATTGAAGTTCTCCAAAATCAAAGATAAGGATGTTATTGTTATGTACCATCAAATCACCTGTGATGCATAGCGGCCCTATGTACAGCAGCTCTGAACCCTACCTTTTCCTGAGTCAATCTCACTTATTCTGACACAACAACCCCCATTGCCCCAGTTACAGTATCAACCCATCTCATCTGGGGTGATCCTCACCTGGACTGTCCCTCCACCCTTCCAAGCATGATGTCCTTCTAAAAGGACCGGTCTTTCTTGGCCACATGACCAAAGTATGTGAGACAGAGCTTCAAAATCCTATCCTCCAAGGAGAAACTTGGTTTTACCCTCTCTAAAACAGACCTGTTTGTTTTCTTGTTCAAGACTCTTCTCCAGCACCAAATTTCAAAAACATTGATTCTTGTTCTGTCATCCTCAGTCATTGTCCAAATCTCTGAAGCATAACAAGTAATTGAGAACACCATGGCCTAGATTAGGTGCAACTTTGTCTCCAGACTGACATTGTTGCTTCACAGCACTCTGTAGAGGTCCATGACAGCATATTTTCCCAGTGCAATTTGTCTTTTGATTTCCTGACTGCTGGTGTTAAGGGTGTTGATTGTGGAGCCAAGAAAGCTGTAATTGTTAACAACCTCAATCTCTTCTCCCTCTATCATGGTGCTGCAAAGTGGTCCAGTGATGAGAATCTTTACCTTCTTGGTGTTTAGCTTCAATCCAAATTGAATACTATAGTCCTTGACCTTCTGCAGTAAGCACTTTAGGTCTTCAATTTTTCAGCAAGCAAGGTTGTGTCATCTTCATAATGTAGATTATTGATGAATCTTCCTCAAATCTTGATGTGCATTCTTCCTCATAAAGCCCTGCTTCCCAAATGATCTATTCTGCATATAGATTGAAAAGGTATGGACACAAGCTATATACCCGGCACACTCCTTTTTTGGCTTTGAACCGTACAGTGTTTTCTTGCTTTGTTCTTAGGACTGCTTCATGTCCTATCCTGTATTCTAAGGATGTTGTTGTTGTTGTTATGTGCCGTCGAGTTGTTTGCGACTTATAGCGACCCTATGTACAACCGCCCTAAACCCTGCTCTATCCTGTGCCAATCGCATTGGCTCTGACACACCCATCCCGATTACCCCAGTCACTGAATCAGTCCACCTCATAGAGGGTCTTCCCCTCCTGCGCTGTCCCTCTACCCTACCAAGCATGATGTCCCTCTCCAAGGACCTGTCTTTCCTTACAACATGTCCAAAGTATGTTAGACAGAGCCCCAGAATCCTTGCCTCCAAAGAGTAGCCTGGTTTAACCCTCTCGAGGGTGGATCTGTTTGTTTTCTTGGCAGTCATGGAACATACAATACTCTTCTCCAGCACCACAGCTCAAAGGCATCAATTCTCCTTCTCTCCTCCCTACTCACTGTCCAACTCTCTGATAGACTACTAAAAGTAGCATGAGAAGAACACTTTCAAAGGAGAGCCAAATAGATTAAGTTCTAACTTCTCAGCAGAAACCTGGTAACCTACAAGGCAATGGGATGACACATACAGTAGGCTGAAAGAAAACAATCACCATATGAGGATCCTGTGGCCACCAAAGCTATCCATCAAATATTAAGAAGAAATTAGAATATTTGCAGAAAACAGGAACTTAAGAAGTTTGGAGAAAGAATACAAGCTGTACAAGAAATACTAAGGGAATTCTTTCACTTACGGACAGCAAGGAAGAGTAAAAGGGCCAGTTGGAGGACCTTATCTTCACTCTGCTACATGATGCCAAGGCTTGTGAAACATGGCTGGCCCAAGAGCATCTTCAAGCCACTGCTTAACTTGCAAAAACAACAGCCTAGCCAAGGCACACTCATACCCTGGCCAGCACCAGAACCACTGCTGGCCAGGTGCACTTTAAGATTGCAGTCTAGCACTACGCTGTCTAGCACCAAGAGCATCAATTTCAAAGATACATGCGCCTTAAACCCTGCTGTCTAGCTAAATCACTTTGGATTTAATAACTTAAGTGGGAGAGGCCAGGTGGACCTGAGACTTTAGGAGGGCAACATTCAACCAACTGAGGGATGACTGTTGCTCCCATGAGGAACATGCCAATATACAGGTCTTTCACAAACTATTGCCATACCCTGGATCATTATGTAGTTTCAACATGGTGCCACTGTTGTAGAATGGGACTGTCCTTGGGGTTGGGGAGAGACTGAGTAAGATGGGTTCAATAATGTATGCTGCTCTGGAACAAAGAAGGGAGAAAACTGTTTAAAAGAGACATGTGATTAGGTATTTCGGTCATGAAAGGAGTCTAGAGCGATGGCTACATGGTGGAGTGGACCTGGGGGAGGGTTTGTAAAATAATGAAAGAATCTTTTCTTTTACTTTTCCTAGAGGGTAATGTCTGGTGGGGGGAGCCTTGGGAGGGGACAAATCTACAACAATGAATGAATGGAAATCCAAAGCCTCTGTAAATTTTCACTGAAATTAAAAACAAATTTAAATTAAAAAAATATAATTAAGTTAGAGTAAGGATGGCAATGGAACCACCTTACCTCTGTAACTTGATTTGTGCCACTATTAGAACCTCTACTCAGAATATTATTGCTTTTCAATTTTTGACTCATGCACTTTTAACTTGTTAGTTAAATTTGTATCTTCTAGGCTGCAACACTTCCATGATACATCTTCAAGGATATGAATATGTACGGCTAAGCTCAGTTGATAACAGTGCATCTAAATTCCAAGATCAATCTCCATAGTAGTCTATGTGTTTCCTACTGCCAAAGGGGCCCTTTAGAGTAGTGAGAGAAGACCTTCACCCTGAAACCCATAGCGTCCCTTTTCAGCAGAAAGTAGCTAAGAGAATACGCCATCCCCTTTTCCTTATGAATCAGGGTGAAGTCTCTCTCTGGGAGGAGTGATAGGGAGTGGCAAGGGACACACTGACAAAGGAGATTAATCAGAACTGGCTTTGACAAGCACTGTGGCAATTGGACAATTAAAACAGACATTGGGGGGGAAAGAAGAACGAACTGGGGATGAGGGTGGAGAAAACAGTGCAACAATGAATGACTGAAACCCCAAAATCTCTGTAAATGTTCATTAAAACTAATAAAATTTAATTTTAAAAAAAACCATAGAATCTATTAAAAAAATACTCACATAATGTAAAGAAAGCAGCCATCTGCCTCAGTCATTATTAAAAACCAAATTAAACCTTCTCCTAAAAAGATATACCCAATGAATACCCCAGACAGAAAGGACCAGAAGAAAAACATTGATGAAGGCCCTCTATGAGGTGGATTGATTCAGTGACTGGGATAATTGGAATGGGAGTGTCGGAGACAGTGCGATTGGCACAGGACAGAGCAGAGTTTAGAGCTGTTGTACATAGGGTTGCTATGAGTCGCAAGCGACTCAACGGCACATAACAACAACGACAACAACAACAACACAAGAAGGTGGAAATAATAAACAAGGGAAGTTGTTTAAGAGAGCAAATACCCCAGAGATGACAATCTAGGGGGGAAAAATTATGAGGAACAGCTTGAATAGCTATGGAAAAAAATTCAAAGAAAATGGGAGAACAAATTTATAGTATAGAAAAAAGAGGTACCAAAATTTAAAAAATCATCACAAGACAGAGGGTACAGTCAACATAGTCCTGCAAATAACAGAACAGCATGAAAATGTGACCCAGAATATTAAGGCAGAAATGGCAGAAGTATCCAACATGTTGGGACAAAAATGTAGAGCTGGAGAGTCGGAACAGAGACTCAGTGAGCTGTAAAACAAGAACCACACTGGAAACATACTATAAGAATAATCAAAGATGAGATGTAAAGAAAATGAAGAAAACAGTAGAATTATGTAGGATGAAATCAAAAGGAACAACATACATATGATTGGAATTCCAGAACATGGGAGTAACAGGGAAGGCACTAAGAAAATTGTAGAAGTACTAGAAGAAAAATGTCCCTGGTATTTTGAAGAGTGGAGAAATCCCCATTCAAAAAGCACAGTAAACACCAGCTAGATTAGACCCAAAAAGTAAAACATAAAGACATATCATAGGGAAATTACCCAATTTCAAATATAAGAATAGAATACAAAAAGCAGTGTGAGAAAAACAAATATTCATCTACAAAGAAGGAACTTAAGGAATTTGTGAAAACAAAACCAAAACTGTGAGACATTTTAAATGAAATCCTTCACACGGAGACACCAAAGGTAAGTGAATAGTTACCAGAAACAACAGAAAAGAAAAAAAAAAAATCACAGCTCAATGTCACCATTAAAACGTGACCGGACAATCAAGGGTGCAAGGTCGAGCCAACTCGTAACTGACCCTCCAGCAGGTTTTCAGAGGCTCTAAATTACACTGGAGGATATTCTCCACTTTTCTCCTATAGAACTGGTGGTGGATTCAAATGACAGCAGAGCTCTGTACTAACTATGCCACTAAAGCTCCCTCATTCTTTAATATCAGTACTTAAGACTAAATCTATTTTTTTGTTTTTAGGAAGATTTTAGAGAATTTTTGTTTGTTTAAAGATTGTCTCTGTGCAAAAATTAGATGCTTCATCTAGCATTCCAGAAATTTAAGAATTTAAAACTTTGTTTACAATTTTCCCTCTTTTGAGTAGTATTCTTCTATAACCTCTTGGATGAAAAAAAATCTCAGTAATAATTGGAAGTACTATCAGTTATTATAGTTTCATGACTAATGAAAAGAACTATTTATGGAGGCAGTTAGCCACACACAGTTTCTTTCTCCATCCTTTACTAAGCTTTAAATATGGATTATATCCCAACATCAAGAAAGTAAAAATCCTCACCAAAAGGGCAATAGGCAAGATTGAAGTGTCAAAGGCTTCATTTAACTTGGATCCACAGTTAGTGGCCATTATAATAGCAGTCGAAAAAAATAAGCTGTTGTATTGGGAAAATCTGCTCTACTAGATCACTTTAAAGTGCTAAGGATAAAAAAAATGTCTGTTTAAACACCGAAACACACTAGATCTAAGCTGTGTAGGTTTTTTCTTTCCAATTGCTCTATATGCATTTGAACACTGAAAAATGTGTAAGAATGACAAATTGAATTGTGGTGTTGGGGAAGAGTACGGAATAGCTCATGCACTTCCAGAAGAACAAACAAGTCTGTCTTGTAGGAAGTGCAACTAGGTTACTCCTTAGAGGTAGGGTTCATGAAACTTGGTCTTACATATTTTGGGCATGTTGTCAGGGTGGACCACTTCTTGGAAAAAGATATCATGCAAGGAAAGGTGAAAGATCAGAGAAAGAGGAAAAGATCCTTAACAAGATAGATTGACACAGTGACTTCAGCAATGGATAGAAACATATCAGAGACCAGGAGGAAGATACAGGGTTAGGGCAAAGGTCAGGTCTGTTTTTCCTAAAGTCAACTAAGAGCAGAAGTTAACTTGACATCACTTAAGAACAACTTCCATGACTAGTGAGGATGGCCCAGGATAGGGTAAGATTTCACATCTCCTCTTCATTGGATCACTATTAATCATAGCCAATTCGATAATACCTAACAACAGTTCCTGACTCTGACTTTGCTCCACTGTTCCAAACAAATGGAGACCAATTCTTATACTGTGGATCATCATTTAAAAGTTTTTAAACCCCAAATCTTTACGGAGCCAAGCAGGAGATAGAACTTAACATAATTGTAGGCCAGTTAATATTATGCCAGGGACTTCTGGCATGTCCCCAAAAATCATGATCCTAAACCTACAAACCAAGAAACCAATCCCATGCAATAATTGGTTGCGTATAAGGAATTTATGTTAGTGGGATAGGAAAAACTTGGAAAGAAAAACGGTTGTAAAAGATCAACATCAAAAATTTTAACAGATGCCACTTAATTGAACAAGTAGAAATGATTATTGTTGAGCACTGAGTATTACACATATGGTAACCTTATGAACAACAGATCTGAGCCCTTTTCTATCCTGTTCCATCCTTATCGTCCCCGATACATTCGAGCCCATTGTTCACAGACATTATATCAGTCCTTCTCATTGAGGGTCTTCTTCTCTTTCACTGATATTCCTTCTTTCCAAGAATGATATCCCTTTCTAAGGAATAGCTTACCAAACAACGTGCCCAAAGTATGTGAAATGAAACTTTTCCATCCTTGCCTCCAGAGAACATTCTTATTTCACTTTCTCTGAGACATATCTCTTCTTCTGGCCATAGAATATTCAAACTATTCTACAACACCACAACACAAAGTAATCAACTTTTCTTATGGTATCCTTATTTATTGTTTGACCCTCAGATGCATAGCAGGCGATTGACAAAACCATGGCTTGAATCAGGCACACCTTAGTCTTTAAACTGACATCATTGCTTTTCAGTAATTTGGAGAGGTCTCTGACAGTGGACTTACTCAATTCAATGTCTTTCCTGATCTTCTGACTTCTGGTACCAAAGATGTTGATTGTGGATCCAAGCAAGATGAAACTGTTGATAATCTCAATCTTCTCTACATCTGTCATAGTGTTGCCTATTAGTCCAGTGGTTAAAAGTTGTATTTCCTTTGATGTCACTTTCTAAGGGATAGACGGTTCTAGCAACATACCCAAAGTATGTGAGATGTTGGGGTGTGATCCATTATTGAAGGCTACAATCTTTTCTCCTCCATAGCAAGCTCCCTGCAGCAAGTAGCATAATGAAAAATGTTGAATCATTTTATATTCTGCCATGTATATAAACAACAAAGCTAAGGAAATAAATAAATTATTTGAATAAACATATTTTCTGGATCTTCTTGATATCTTCACATATACAAACTAAATATAAAAGAGTGAGTCTATACTATAATTACATATAATGTGTTTTTATTTTGTTTTTTTTTCTTCCAGCACAGGACAGTTGGGAAATCTGACAGCCCCTTGTAATTCTCGGTGTGGATGCTCATCTTCTTTTTATTTTCCAATATGTGGAAGAGATAATGTTGAATATTTCTCTCCCTGCTTTGCAGGCTGTGGACATAAAAGAATACTTAAAAATAAGCAGGTAACCTTAAATTTTTACTACTCCAGTAAAATGTATAACTTGTAGATGGTAATTCCTAGATCTCTATTAAGCTTTTATTTTTTTTAATTTCACTATTTAAAGACAACAAAATCAATAAAAACAACAACAAACACACCCTTCTCTTATGTTACCATAAGGCAGCAGGCTTATCATAATTGAGAATGGGAAAAAGACATACTCTTCTAAATGAATTTGGATCTACCTTACATAGTCTCAGTATTATGATTTTAAAGCAGTGGATAATTCCCTGCTGGTGTAAGAACATTTTCTATAACTTATTTTTTAATTTTCTTTGAATTTATTTTTATTAATATGATTTGAGTGAATGTTTACAAATCAAACTGAATTTCTATCCAACCCTTCGAACACACTCTGTTTTAAGACATTAAATTACAATATCCACAATGTTATTACAGTCTTTCCACTTCTCTCTGTGATTCTCTTTTCAATTAATCCTTCTATCTTAATCTTTCCTGCAATCTCAATTTTATTCCTGTGGAAATGCTACCCTTTTGATCTTGTGTGGTTGGTATAATAATTAATGAGTAGCTCTTTGGTGGTGGTAGTCATTTTGGAAGTTTGTCTATTGTTTGGCCAAAAGTGAGCAACAGAGCTGTTACCTTCTAGGTTCTGTGGATAACTAAGGGCCATAGCTTCAGTGATTCTACTAGTTCCTACTAGACAATTAAATCTGGAATATTCCTAGATTTGTTTTCCCTTTAGTTTTATATTTTGCTCTTATGTTGTCCAGAATCTCCTTCTGTGATTTCATTTAGAGCAGTCAGCAATGTTGCTGTTGTTGTTAGGTGCCATAGAGTCGACAACAACTCATAGCCATCCTATGAACAAAAGGTCTGAAATATGTTCTATCCTGTACCATCCTCATCATCTCTGACACACTTAAGCCCACCTTTACAGGCACTGTGTCAATCTATCTAACTGAGGGTCTTCCTCTCTTTTGATGACACTTCCAAATGTGATGTCCTTTTCTAAGCAAGACACTTCTACCAACATACCCAAAGTATGTGAGCCAAATTTTCACTATCCTTTCCTCCAAGGAGCACCCAGTCTGTACCTCTTTCAAGACATAATTGTTTGTTCATCTGGCAGTTTACTCTTTCTCTGAGACTCTGAGAAGTCAACACACCTGTCCAACACAGCAGCTCAAAGACACTGATTCTTTTGTCACCTTTATTCATTGGCCAACTTTCAAACATATAATGATTGAAAAAGTATGGCTTTTAATCATCTCATTGACATTGTGACTCTTCAGCACTTTGGAGAGGTTACTGACAGCACACTTTTGAAATGCAATACATCTTTTTATTTCCTGGTGCCAAAAATGTCGGCTGTACATACAAGCAACATGAAGTTCCTCACAATTTCTCTCTTTTTTTCCTTCTCTAATAATGTTACCTGTCGGCCTCATGGTGAGGATTTTTATTTTATTTTATTGATTTTATAATATAACCCATATTGAAGGCTATAGTTTTCAATCCTCTACTGAAACTATTTCAAATCCTATTTAGTTTTAGCAAATGAAGATGTATCATGTGCATAATTCAAGTTGTTCAGACCCTAATGCCATGTTCTTCTTCATAGACTCTAGCTTCTTGAATTATTAGCTCAGGATACAGATTGAATGTTGCTTTTGTTAGTCATTATTGAGTCTAGCACGACCCCTATGAAAAACATATCTGAACCCTGTGCTATTCTGTGCTGTTTTCACAATCTCTGACACACTTTATTCAATTGCTGCAGTCACTGTGTTAATCAGCCTCATGGCAGGTCTCCTCTTGCACTGATCCTATAGTTTTCAAACCATAATATTCCTTTTCAAGGAATATCCTATCTTAGCAACATGCCTAACGTATGTGAAATGAAGCCTTGCCATCCTTGTCTCACAAACCTGACACACCCCTTTCCTGATTTTAAAGCATGCATCTATTGGTCTATTCAAGGCACAGCTTCTTGGAAAAGGAATAGGTTTAGCACAATTAACTTTCTGCAAGTCCCATTCTTTTCAATGACTGCCATAATTTGTTGTGATCTTCACTCTCAAATGCCTTTGCATAGTTAATAAAACACAAATAGACATCCTTCTGGTATTCTCTCCTTTCCACCAAGGCCTATCTGGCATCAACAATGGCATCCTTCATGCCATGGCTTCACCTAAAGCCAGCCTGAATTTCTACCAATTCTCTCTTCTGATGTACTGTACTGGCTACTCTGAACATTGCACTAGAGTGTCAAAATCCCAAAACTAAAAGAGTTAAATGGAAGATTTCAAAGGGCAGGTCAAGAGGACAAAGCAAAGCATTATAATGGAATGTGCAGAAAGCTGGAATTGGAGAATTAAAAGGGAGGAACTCACTCTGTGTTTCTCAAGCTGAGAGAGCTGAAAAAACTAATTTAAACCTCAGGTCAGAGTATTGAAAGATGCTACAGGAAATGTATTGAATGACCCAGAAAGCATGAAAAGAAGATGGAGGGAATACATAGAATTACTGTACATAAAAGAACTGACTGCCACCGAAAAATTTCAGGAAGTACCATATGAACATGAGTCAATAGTAATGAAAGAGGAAGTGGAAGAAGCTGCATTGAAGACACTGACAAAAAAAAAAGGCTCCAGAAATCAAAGTGATACCAATTGACTTGTTTCAATTAACAGATGCAGGCTTGGATACGCCCACCAGACTATGCCAGAACATTTGGAGGACAGTTGTTTGGCCAGCGGATTGGAAGAAGTCTATATTTGTTCCTATTCCCAAGGATGGTGATCCAACAGAATGTGGAAGTTATTGAACAATATCATCAATATCCCATGCAAGCAAAATACTGCTGAAGATCATTTAAACACAGCTAGAACATAGACAGGGAACTGCCATAAATCCAGGCAAGATTTAGGAGAGGCTGTGGCACCAGGGATATCATTGATGATGTCAGATGGATCCTGGCTGAAAATAGAGAATACCAGAAGAATGTTTATTTGCGCTTTATTGACTATGCAAAGACATTTCACTGTGTGGATTATAACAAGTTATGGCTGACATTGAGAAGAATGGGAATCTCAGAACACTTACTTGTGCTCATGCGAAACCTATACCTAGAACAGGAGGCTGTTGTGCAAAGCAGAGAAACAGTGCATGGTTTAAAATGAAGAAGGGAGTGTGTCAAGGTTTTGTTCCCAATCCCTATCTAGTCAATCTGTGTGCTGAGAAAATTATTGAATAAGAGGCTGGACTCTGAAGAGAAGTGTAGCATCAGGATTAGAGGGATACTCATTAATAACCTGCATTGTGCAAATGATACAACCTTGCTTTCTGAAAGTGAGGAGAACTTGACGTACTTGTTGCAGAAGATTAAGGAATGCAGACTTCAATATGAATTTCAGCTCAATGTCAAGAAAATAAATATTGTTTCAGTGTGAAAAACAATGTATATGAAATTTTTAAGTAAACAAGTATAAAATTTTAAAAAGTACTTTAAATTACTAAAAAGTAAACAAATATTTTTACAACTGGACCGATGGGCAATATTAATGGTGGCTGGAGAAGAAATTGAAAATGTCAACAACTTCATCCTTCTTGGATCCACAATCAGCACTCTGTATACCAGCAATTAGAAAATGAGATGCACTGCACTGGGAAAGTGCAGTTAGGGACCTCTGCAAATTACTAATGTCAGTTTGAGGACTAAAGTGTGTCTGATTCAGACCATGGTCTTTCTGATCACTTGCTGTGCATCTGAGAGCTGGACAATGAGTAAGGATGTTAGAAGAAGAATTGATGCCTTTGGGCTCCAGTGTTGGAGACTCAACAATAACCTAATGAGAACATCTATCCCAAGGACAGCGAAGAGAACAAACAGATATGTCTTGGAGAGGGTGCAGCTGGAGTGCTCTTTGGAGGCAAGAGTGATGAGGCTTCACCTCACATATTTTGGACATGTTGCTAGGAGGGGCTATTCCTTGGAGAGGGACATAATGGTTGGAAAGGTGGAAGGTTGGAAAAGGAGAAAAAGACCCTTGGCTAGGTGGATTGACATGGTGACTGCCACAGTGGGCTCTAATGTGTCAGGAAGTATGAAGATGGCACAAGATAAGACAGGGTTCGGATTTGTTGTTCATATGGTCACCATGACTCTTACTCAACTTCACGGCACCTAACAGCAGCAACAAAAATCATGGAGTCCACACCCATGTTTATTGCGGCTTTGTTTGCAATAGCAAAGAGCTGGAAACAACCCAAGTGCCCATCAACAAATGAATGGATAGAGAAGCTCTGGTATATTCATACAATGGAATACTGTGCCGCACTGAAGACAAGGAATGCATGAAATATTATGCAAAATGGAAGACATAATGCTGAGTGAAATATCACAGTCACAAAAGGACAAATATTGCATAGAGCTACTATTATAAAATAGGACTGACATTAGGGTTGAGGAAAGACAGGGAATAAGGGGAGGAATGATGTATACTACATTGCACCAGATGAGGGAAGAACTGTTTAAAAGGCATATATGATTAGGTATAGGTATTATTGTCATGACAGGAGTCCAGAATGAAGCCTGCACAGTGCAGTGGACTTGGGGGGAGGGATTGCATAAAAATGCAAGAGTTTTTCTTTTACTTACCACGGAGAAAAGTGAATTGGGGGGTGGGAGCTGACAGGGAGAAAAACACAACAATGAATGACTGGAAACCCTAAGTTTCTGTAAACTTTCATTAAAATTAATAATAATTTTAAAAATCACAAAGTCGGAACAGACCCATAGCTGAGCCTCTGGCAGATTTTCAGAGGCAGTTAATCATTTGGGAGATTTCCCATCCTTCTCCTACAGAACTTTTAATGGATTTGAACTGTGTGACTTCAGAATTGCAGCACAGCTTCTTGCCAGTAGGCTACCAGAGCTCCCTAGGAATGGTACTATGTATATAGATATGAGTGAATTTGCTTATCTGACTTTAGACA